TTTTCGATAAAACCGAGAGGTTTACTAAAAAATTGGGCTCTGCGCGGGCAGAGTTTCGACTCGAAAAACTCTTTTTCTTGAGGTCTTCGGGTGCTCCGGGGCTTGCTTCGGGTGTTGGGGTGATTCCCTAGGCTTCGGGGGATGTTAGGATAGCTTAGAAGAAAGTTTAGGGTGTAAAAGTGTAAGTTTTGTAAACATAAATTGGGCAGCCTCGCACTTCTATTTATAGTGGCCGAAGCTTGGCATTACGTTGGGCGTAACTTCCTGGTAGGCGGGGCGTACTGCCTTGCAAGGCTCTATGCTGGGCGTAGATCGAGTACGCTGGGCGTAGGAGCGGATCACTTCGGACGCGTCACAACTACAAACACGTGTGCACCATGCGAAGGAATAGGGTGACGTGGCCAATCTCGGACCGTGTACACGAGTTCGCTGGGCGTACTCCTGTACGCTAAGCGTACTCCCCCGATTTTTAATTTTCAAACTTCAAAATATCATAACTTTCGCATACGAGCTCCGTTTTCGACGCTCTTTATATGTACGCGTAGGTATGACTGTGCTCTACAACTTTCGTTTAGACTCCGTCGGCTAATTTTTAATTATATTTAAAGTTATATTTTTAACAGGTCGGGACAAGAAAAGTCCGTTAAAAATTCATAACTTCTTCATCCGGCGTCCGTTTTTGTCTGTCTTTTTACCGTTAAACTACTATCGACAATATCTTCGGTTCTCGTTTAGGTTGTGTCGGCTAAAAATCCCTCGATCTATAATTTGAGTTTCGGGCTGCACACTACTATGTCAAATCTTAGAAAATTCATAACTTCCTCATACGAAGTCAGATTTGGACATTCTTTTTATGCACACTCTCGGTTTAACGTGTACTATGACTTTCATTTAGATTGCTAAGGCTAAAAGCACTTTATCGTAAACTCACTTTTTACGTCACACATCGTCGTGTCGGTTCTGTCGCGAAACTTCGACAGGTCATAACTTCTTCGTTATAACTCGGATTTCGGTATTCTTTATATCTCTGGAATCCTTGTTTCAACCACTACAACTTCCTTCATAGATATCGGGTTTATCTAACATTTATTTTTGACGTTTATTTTAATCCTTAATTTACTAAATCATAATAATTAAGTATAAAACACATAATACTTAAATAATTCATTCTTATTACTTCAAAACGAGTTACAAAGGTTGACCTAGATGATTACATCATCTTTAATGCTTTAGCCCAGAAACACGGGCGTTACAGGTGAGTTCATAAGCATTTTTGTTATAGAAAGTATATTCTTTGTTCTTTGAAAATTTTAATGTGTTCTTCCAGAAAATCAAATATTTTATTAGTAAATAAGTTATAGTCTTAGTACTTTAGGACCAAAAAGTATAGGTTTCTTATGTTTATAATCTGTGATTTGAGGTTCTGATTCATGTAATTGGTATGACCCGTACTGTTACCTCCTATGATTGCTTAGTGTATACAAGTTATATATAATTAAGATTGAACGGACAGTTGATTGGGTGATTCTGCCCTAATCCCACAACCAAACAAGGAACAGGAAGTAAGGCGGAAATCACACATTCCACTGCCTATCCGATATTATTTATATATAACTCTGATGTATAAGCTAAGGAACCATAGAATTAGCAATTAAGGTTCCTTATGTTATACTAGTTGTAAATAAGTGTTGAACCTTTTATAAATAAGTCCCTAGTTCCCCCCGCTCTACTGTAAAGCGTTGTTTTCGGTAAGTAATCGTATTTATTTCAAGAAATTTAAATTGTAAACTGTTTGCTTGTAAAATAATGATGTTTATCCTGGAAAATCCTATATTTTCCATAAAACTGAATTGTAGTCTTAAACGTTCCAAGACCAAAAAGTACAAGTATAATTGTCATACTTAATTTGATGATACCTAGTTTTATTCATAAGTAAAACTAGCTGAAGATGTGTTTGCCCTGTAAACTAGATGTGATATTAATACTCTCCTATGATCACTTAGTACATACGAGTTGTATATAACCATGATGTATATGCTAAGTAATCACAGAGTTAATACCCCTCGAGGCTGTTTAAAAAAGTATATTACTACGTAAATGTGTCGTTGTTTTCTCCATGTGAGTTCTTATAACCATACTGTAACCTAAGATGGCCTGATCGCGACGTTCTTCAGGCGTCAGAATGTTAACGACATTTATCACCCCAGGCCTGCCGGCCTAACTGTAGCTAACAGTTAAGGTGTGGGATTGTCAGTCCCGTATAGATCTATACATAAATATCTCGCTCTCCCTACAAGAGACTCTGGTTATAAGTCAGGACTTGGTTGGTACTTAGATAAGTACGTGAAGGCGTCTCACAAATTGCTTCAACGTTTTTATGAGTAATAACTGAAAACCCTTTTAGTTTAGATGTTAACCTGAACTTTGTAAAATAGTTCCTTTGTTCCATAAACTATACCTATTATAGTTTATAAGTTTGTAAAATAGTTCATTGTTCCATAAACTATACCTACTATAGTTTATAAGTTTGTAAAATAGTTCATCTGTTCCATAAACTATACCTATTATAGTTTATAAGTTTGTAAAATAGTTCCTTTTTTGTAAAAACCGTTGCGACTTAACATGTTTTGTAATTATTTGTAAATTTAACAGTAACGATGTTTGGCGTATTTAATAAATTTCACGTTTAAATGCATTATAACGGTAAGAAAATATAATAAGCAATTTATATTTTTAAACACAAGATTTCTTGTGTTTTACTTGTATCCCCCCCCCCCCAAACAATTTAAAAATCGTGAAAACGTAGGGGTATGAACTCACCTCGAATGTGTGTGCTAGTTCGGACGCGAAGTGATTGCGAATGATCCCCGAGTTAGAACACGTGCAAGTATTCGTATCCTAATAATATTTATAAACGATATCGTATTTAAATTAATAAGATATTAATTTAAATAATAAATTAAGTAATGGTTTAAATAATAATTAAAGTGTTAGACAACACTTTAATTATGCATGAAATACTTACAAAAGCCTTAGGAATTATTTGGAATAGTTCTAGGCGTTTTCGGTGGGTTTGGTGTTTTCGGTGTAAGCTTAAAGATTTGAAGATTGTTCTTGATGTTCTTGGTGTAAATAAGAAGATCTGAACAGGAATCTCTTGAAAATATGGGGTTTACGGATGATACTTGAGAGCAAAAATGAAGGTGTTCACGGCCTAAAAAAGTGAGAAATGAATTGGGTTCACGGTTGAACACACACACACACACACACACACACACACATATATATATATATATATATATATATATATATATATATATATATATATATATGGTAGTGTTTACGGCCTTAAAAGGCTTTCACTTTTGGGATTTCGGTCGTTAATGGACCTAGTCTTATGTTTTCGGCCATTTAAGAATTGATTTCGGCCATAGCAACCGAAAACTCTATTGTTCCTTGAATCATGCAACCAAAAACTCCTTTGATTCCTAATTCCTTGGCCGAAATCTCCATGTCCTAGATTCTTTGGACCGAAATCTCATAAATGGTGGTTTATTTTATGTTTTAAACCTTAGTCTTTTAACTTATGTTAATTTATACTAACTTAAATCAACTTAGGTTTCAAACTATACTTAGTTATTAGCTTATAAACATGCCCTCAAGGCAATAGAGGATACAATGCAAAAAGGATTGCAATGTGGTTTCACTTGTACTAGGTTATGGTTTAGACTTTGCTTGCTCTAAAATTTTTGGATTGTGACACCAGATATCACAAAGTCCTTTCTCCAAATGAGTTTTGTCTTTCACTTGGATAAATCTCACAAAACCAAATCTTCTCCCCATCCTGGAACATTTTTGAGCAATGTAAACGTCCACTATTGTTCCTATCTTTGCACACTTGTTCCATAACTCCGTTGGAAGGAGGTCGCTTGGTAAATTAGTCATGTAGAAAGATACAACAATCTTATCTACCGATCCATGGATAATGTTTGATCTGTTTGACCTGTAGTTATCATTACTTCTATTCGATTCCCTCTCATGATAACCTCTATCATATTTGCATCTCCTAACTTCTTGCCATTCAAACTCTCCATCTTTCATCATTATACATGAATGAACGTGCACGACATCAAAAATTGATCCCAAACCCTACCCCTCCCCACCTCACAGATTACAGGTGAGTAGACAAGGGAAATCGACGATGAAATAGTGTAGATAATCACCAGAAACACAGAAGTCAAAGCCGACGCCCAAAATTCAACGACGATCACCATATGAAAACCAAACGATCTACTGGAGTTGCCCGGAGAAACAAAGGAGGTTTGCCGGCGTTTGCACCCGCCGGAGAAGAAGACCCACCTCTATACCCAACGAATAGAACTATTACCCGACAGACAAAACACAGAAGTGCGTGACACTTTTTTTACCCAACGGTCAACATTGTGACTCAATTCTATTGTACTTTGGCCCACCTCTCTAGTTTTATTATATAATCGAAAATGAAAAATTTGTCTATTCAATATGAAATCAAGTATTGCAAGTTGTAAGAAGCCTCATAAAGTATCATCACCTCATCTATTCATCATGAATTAGACATTTTACACCTATGATATTCAATTTCTGATCTTAAGCCTTTAGTTGCAAATCATAATAATGTTGTTTCTTTTGTAATTGAGATGTTTTCGTCATAATTTGTATGGTTTGCATCAACAAAAATTATGATTCATGTTTAAAAATTAAAGTTGGCTTCATATCATCGATTTAATCGACATCATGTAATATTGTAAGGATCTTCCGATTCTGACCGGATCTTACAATTACGACCTTGCAACACATAAAACGATCTTAGGTAAGATCCGGATCTTAAGAGCTTTGATTACTACCATTAACACAAAGCGTAAAATAAAATTTCTGTTTAAAAAATTAATAATAAAATATTATTCGCTCGTATCATAGAAATATATAAAAGAAAAGAAATAAAAAAACCTTTGGTAAGTGGAAAAGCTTAACTGCTAAAAGAGCAGTAAGCAGCCTTTGGAGCCCATTTCCATCCCCAACACACCACAACCATCCCCCTTCGTCTTCTTCTCCTCTTCCTTTTTTCCTTTTTGCTATTTGACGTCTGCGTGATCCTTTGATGCAATACATCACTCAAACATCTATCGCTTTCCCCAAATCCTTTCAACAATCGATGAAGATTGTGATTTCTCCTAGAAAAATCTCCTACTCCGCACAATAATCGAGAAAAATGCCAGTGTTTCTTTCTTCAGATTCATCACCCATGGGCACAGTTTAGATCGAACGAAACGTTTTACTTAGAATTCCTAACACCGAACATCATCATTTCTCACCGGTTTTTTTCTGGATCCAGCCACTTGTTCTATCCCTTTCATTTCATCCGTTTCGGAAACGTTCACTTCATGTGGTCCTTTTCAATGATTTGAATCAACTTGCACTTGAGATTTGGATCTCTCCTTTCTCTCTATAGAATCGTATTCACGAAGGTCTCTTCGTTATCGCATTCAAAAAGGAAGAAAACGAGAGAGATGGCGGATTTTATGTTCGTTCTGAAGAACTTTCTGTTAGTGTCTCTGGCGATGAATATGTGTTTGATTTGGAAAATAAACTACGATGATGAAGAAACCCTATCATCGAAATGGAGTAGCTGGGGAAATCTACAGCAGAAGTTCCATTTTCATGGCTCCTGTTTTAATGGTGAGAAAAACAACGGAAGAGTGGAGGAGGCGCAGGTTAGCAGCAAGAGGACAGAGATTCTGGCAACGACGTCGTATGTTGCATCTACTGTGGTTCCAGATGGCGGGGAGAGTGTTGTCATCAATCTTGACCAGTAAGTGCTGCCGTACTCGAATCTAAATCATGATCGATACCTAATAATTATCGTTGGATTCCAATCATAAGATTATTTTCATTATTATCATTCATATCAATTGTTATTTTAGGAAAAAAAGTATATCTAAAAATATTTGTATATCTGGAAAATAAAACAAAATATCAACTGTTTCATGGTTTTACCAAAAATATCTATTTTTTTGTAGTAGAATAATTAGTGTGTAATCGTTGCATGATTTCATACTGTAATTGATTTATGCGTAAGTTATATTTTTGGTCCTTTATTGTAGTTGGTTTTTGCAATTTTAATCCTTTTTTGAAATTCTAATAACATTTTTTGTCCCCGACTATAGCTGTTTTTTGTAATTTTGTATAGCCATTTTACTTTGAAAAGAGAAACCAAATATGTTACCAAAACATTGAAATAAGAGCCAAAATTACAAAAAGAAAACCTTTTGCAATCGTAATAACAAAAAAATCAGTTATACCGAGGGGCCAAAAATGTAATCTACTTTTGATTTATTCATTAATTAGATTACAGAAAATATTTATAGTGAAGGGAAATACAACAATTTTGCAATAAATTTGGTAAGTGCGATTACGGATAGTATTGAAAAGGACACTACAGTAACATGCGCCAAATCAGCACGCGTTCACGTTAGCACATAGACAAAGACAATTCGGTTTTGTGAATTCCGATGGTGGATGTCATGGTTTGGGGGAGCCACCCGTTTCCACCACCAAAGTTTTCTTCCCGATTCTAGGGTCTACCGTTTTATGCTAACGTGCACTGTTGGTTAACGTGCCCCATTGTCCTCTTGCTTTGGTTTTCAAGTACATGATTATATGTTGTTTTTATTGCCGCCACCACCGTCACCACACCCACCCACCACCGCCACCACTACCTCCACCACCGCCGCCCATAATCATTTCCATTGCTTTGCTGTCTTTTGCTTTGTTCCACTTCCAGCACCTCAATCTTTTCAACAAAGAATAATAATAATAATAAGATAATACTGTAGTTAATTGTTCCACTTTATTTAGTTTAATTAAAGCAATTACCAAAAGAAGAACCCATCGACTGTTTTTGAATTTTTTTAAACCTAGTCCACTCTATTCTATATTCACATCAATTAATCAAACACTTGAAGTATCTTATTGGGTTACTGTTTATCCGACTTATTTCTCATGTGGTTGGTTAAAGTCCATAAGAAAAAAAACCATGTTACCATGTCAGTTCATAAGAAGAACCCTTTTGCTTGCATAGGTTGTTTCCTCTTTTAGTTTACTAATATTAGGTGTCCATTAAGATCTTTACACATGTCACCATGTGTGTCCTCTCTTTCCCATCACCAAACATTGTTTATTGGACCCAATACTTGTAGAAACAGTTAGGGTTTGAGTCTCTTAATTCCTGTGATAGTTTTAGTTCCGATATGAATTGTTGTGTACCTGATTTACATTGCAAATTGTTTGTTTGAATTTATTTAAAAATATAAGTTACAAAAAATAAATATATATATATATATATATATATATATATATATATATATATATTATATTGTTTTGGTGCAAATATGGGCTTATAGTTCTAATTTATATGGTATTTTTTTTTTAAATATAGTGGTGACCCGACGATGTATGAAAATTTTTGGAAGCAAAAAGGTGAAGAAACAAGGGTTGTGACTTCCGGTTGGCAGCACATAAGTTATTTTTCAGATGTTAAAAATGTTTGCTGGTTTTTGGAGCCGGAGCTTGTGACTGCAGTCACCAGGTTGCACAAAGTGGTCGGCAATGCCGTCACGGAGGGCCGCCACATGGTGGTTGGAACCGGCTCTTCACAACTTTACCAGGCGGCAATTTTTGCTCTCTCACCTCACAATGCTTCCACCCCCATGAATGTTGTGTCTGCTGCTCCATTTTATTCGGTAACCTCTAATATTTTTATCATCAGAGAATCAGGTTTCAACACAGAACCAAATTATCTGAACAAAAATGATCTCAACCGTTAGATCAAATCATCGTGAGATGAATTTAATCAAACGGTTGAGATTGAATTTGGTGGTTTGTTCGGATGATTTGAATCTATGATTCCATTATTGGTTTAGTTGACTAAGTGGCACATGCTTTTATCATGAAATATATGGTTTTCTGTAGCTATTTTCTGATCGCTTGATGTGAAAGCAATGTCGCAAAGTTTTTTTCTGTATTTGACTTGTATTGATGAGAGGCTTTAATGCTACACTGACATAGGGAAGACAAAATGATTTTAACAAGTCAACCAAATAACACTGCAAAATTAAATGACAGTGTATTATTAGAGTATCCAATAGACCACAAAATGTATCTTTTCATTTTGCCAAAACAAAACCAATAAAACATATATTAAAATATTGATAGTTAAGAATATAATATTGTTGTTACATTTTATTGCAGTCGTACCCATTGATGACAGACTACTTGAAATCAGGGCTACACAAATGGGCAGGAGACGCTCATAAGTTCAACAAAGAAGAACCCTACATCGAACTAATCACTTCTCCCAATAACCCTGATGGATCTTCAAGACAAGATGTAGTCAAAGGCCATAAAGGGATTCTAATTCATGATCTCGCTTACTATTGGCCTCAATATACACCCATTTTATCACCTCCACCTGATTACGATATCATGCTCTTCACTGTCTCCAAATCAACGGGTCATGCCGGTTCCCGAATCGGGTAAATTACATATAATTTTTCTTTTTTTCTTTTTTCAAATTTATATAATTTTACTATTATTTATGTTGTAGATGGGCGCTTGTGAAAGATAGAGAGGTCGCTAAAAAGATGACGACATTTATAGAGATCAACACGATTGGTGTGTCTAAAGATTCACAGATTCGAGCAGCAAAGATTTTGCAAGCTGTGTCTAATAGTTGTGATATTGATGATGATGATGATGATGAATCTTTCTTTGATTATAGCTACAACCTCATGGAAAAAAGATGGAAGAAAATTAGAGAAGCTGTTGATAAAACTCGTCTTTTTAGTTTGCCGGATTTTTCATCGGAGACATGTTCTTTCAGTGGTCGGACTTTTGGACAGCTCCCTGGTAATTTTATTAATTTCAAGACATAAAATGAATATGATTAATTCAATAAATTTGACGTATTTTTTTTGTTTTTGTTGTAGCTTTTGCTTGGTTGAAGTGTGAGGGAGATGTGGATGATTGTGAAAGTTTTCTTCGAAAGAATAAGATATACACGAGAGGTGGGAAGCATTTTGGGGCAAGTATGAAGTATGTGAGGATCAGCATGCTGTGTCGAGATAGTGAATTTGAGGTTTTCACTGAAAGGTTGCCTACAATTGTCTCCTGAAAAAAAAAAAGTTATGTTTTTGTTTTGCAAGATGATATGCGGAATTTAGGGTTAGTTGTAGGTATGTGTAAAAGAAGATATTTTGGTTTACTCCTGTTGTTGATAAATATCAGTAACATTAGTGATCTAAATGACTAGAAATTTTCAAGTATCACCAAGATGCGTTCCATGTTTTCTGGTTTGTTGAATACAAATTGTTGATTTTCTTGCTATTTGTATTTCGGTATGTGGTGAAAATCATAGGGTTGCAATTGCAAACTAGATTGAGTCCATAAAAACAAAGTCATTCCAAATAAAAAGATTAATGGTTAAGTTGGTTATTCATCTCTACAAAACAATGCTGAATATATGTCTCCAAAAGTCAAGTCGTTAGTTTGGAGTTATTACTTCCTAGTGTAAGTCAGCTTTTCTTGGATATAGTTGTAGCCTAAGTATTAGCCATGCTTATCCATTTTGATATAATAAATAGAGGTTTTAGGTCTCTTGTATTCAGTACCTTTTTCAGAAGGATTGTATGTCCCTCAATCGACATTATGAAGTAGTTCTTGACATCCTTCGTTGTTTGTTTTTCTTAATTAGTTGGTTCTCCACAAAATTTTCTTGATGATTTTATCTCTTTTATTATTTTTTATTATTTTCTACGTATGTACGGGTTGATATTGAAAAATTAAAACTAAAGGCAATGAAGTGCATGTTTCTTGGGTAAAATCGAAGGAAAAAAGGCTACAAGTTATGCATATCTAGGCTAAAGAAGGCCACCATCTCAAGAGACATGAGCTTTTGATGAAAACACTATGATTTATGGGATCTCTAACTTACCTATGACAAAAGACGATCCATATGAAGAAAAGGAGGAATCATGAGTGGAGGTAGAGCTTCCACTTAGTGAACAAAATTCGTACAACGAGAATGTGACTCGTGAGTCTACTACGACAAGACAAAATGCACCAGTTTTGTCAAGTATGACTACACAAGCTTCAATTAGCGAGCACGTGACTCGTGAGCTTTTTTCATCCATCTCAAGGAAACGATCCATGTATTGCACGAGATAGATAGAGAATAGATCCTGAGTCCCAAAGGTATACTCAAGCAATTGTACTTCATACTCTCTTACTATTGCAAATGAAGTTGAGACTACTTTGGAACCCACAACCTACGACGAGGCCATCAAATCTATAGACTCGAAAGAGTAGATGGTTTCCATGCATAACAAGATGGAATCATAAAAGATAAATGAAACATGGGATGTCATCCCTGATCCAAAAGGTAAGAAGACGGTTAAATATTTGTGATTTTAGTGTTATCAACATGTTTTAGTGTAGTTGTTATTAATATTGAGATATACTATTTCACTCACCAAGGTTGGAGGTGCGGAGGTGCACACTCGGAGTGATAAATATGAGCTCGGGATACAGGGTCTGGGGGCAACACCCCTAGGTATGGGGTTCCAAGGGGTAGTTCCCTTGGCGGGGTCTAGGGGAAGAGCCCCTGGCGGTGATTACCGGCCAGCGGATGGGGTCAAGTGGCAACACCACGAAACCTGAACAAATTTCTATATCGGGCAGGACTCCAGCCTTGCATTTTCCCACCAAAACCCATTGATGACATCATGATGATGTAGGCATCAGTTATGTCCAATAACTACCATATGGGATCGCTAAAAACAAAGTTTAATAGACATATTTGATCACATCTATGTCTCAGATCTCCCGTACTTATGTGACCTTTATCACAAAAGATTTCCAATCAAATCGTTTAATTTGGAAAACTTGTGTAATCGACCTATAACTTGGTTATAGAAATCGCGAAGACATCCTTTGCCATCAAAAGATAATACTAAGTGGTTAGGTGACATTTATCCCACTAGCGTATCAAGAGATTTGTGAGTGTTATTTGAAAAAGATTGCATAGATTTGAGGTTTTAAGTGGTCTTTGATGTTTTATAATTCTAGTTTTAAAAAACATATTATATCATGCATCCAATAAATCATGATATACTTTAAAAATCTTATTTTATGTAAAATTACATTTTAACAATGTTCTTTCATAAAACCGATTTTTATATAATTGACGCGGTCAAATTTTAAATTAATATCAAGTATTAAGTTATATCGCATGAGCGATTTAGAAAACTCATAAATCTTTTAATAAAACTTCATTTTATAAAATAAGGTTTGGAGTTTGATAAGTTTATAAATCTCAATTTTAAACTTATATAATTTTAATCCCGAAATTTTACCGTTAGCTAGTTTTAATAAATAAAGTTTGTTATATTTTAAAACTATCTTTACCATCTTATGTTAAAAAGGTAAATTTCATTAAAACCAAACTCCTTTATGATGTTTATTTATGTTCAAATATTATTTTTCATTTGAAAAACTAATTTATCAACCATAAGATAATAATAACAACATAAATATAATACAACACAAACATATTAAAAACATATGTGCATAAACCAACCATCTAATGACATTTTGTGAGCCATCATAAAATGTCAAGTCCATTCCTAAAAGGACATAGACCAAAAAACTTCTAGTAATGTTGTTGCTGAAGCACCCACTTGAGAAAACATCAACTGCTTGCAAAAGTTGAAAAGCTTCTTTAATGGTATTATTTCAGCAACATGCAACACTTTCATAAAAGGTTACAGAAAAGTGTCGCATTAGGTCCAACAATCCTCAAGGAAACTGCCAATAGCGACAGTTTCCAGAAGGGTGGCAATTTTCCATGCATAGTTAAAAGTTGCGAAAATCACATTTTGGTCTTTAAAAAAATGGCTCCATCTTTATTTCTTGTTACATTTTCAAAATAAATAATTTCTATAGACTAATATATACAAAAATAAACAAAGAAAACTAATCTATTTAATTATTACATACCATATGATTAAATAAATATTACAACCATTTTTCAACAAATCAACACATGCAACAACACAAAGGTTCATGGCTAGTTTATGCACATCATACACATTTATACTCAAAATTATATACAACAATTAAAACAACTTTTGTGACAAAAATGCATGTAACGTTTGTCACCACAAAATAACAATTATAAAGTTGTTAAAGAAAATATGTATGAATTTTTCTTACAAACAGAAAACCATCCATGGTTTCCAAAAAACAAAGATTTCATTAAATTCACAAAAAATCTAACTAAGCTTGCAAAAATGACCCTGATACCAATTGTTGAGTTTTTATTCAAAAATTGTTTATATTTACAAAGATAGTAACGGATGACTTTAATTTTGAACAAAGTAAAACTAGTTTTATTCCCACTAAAAGATCAGTTTGCAAGACTTAGAAAGATAAAAACAACCATAGAAAGAAAAGTGTAACAACCTTTGAAGACTTTGATTCTCATGAGAGATTTGAAGTTGATAAAGTATGACAAGAAACTTCAAGGTAGAAGTTCTCTATAGATATACACCAAAAATAAATCAACTTGATAAGATGCTAGTCTTCTTCTTGTACTAAAAGAATCTCTTAAGCTCTTAAGACAAATAAACTAGTTTGTCTTAAAAGAGACTGTTCAAGTACCATCTTCATCTTTATGTTCTTAACTATTTAAGAGACAGAAACTAGAGAGAATATGGAGATGAGAATCCTCAAATTTCATGGTTTTGGCTCCGTTAAAAAAAGAAGAGATAACTAGTTTATATGCTCTTAACTTTATGCCTTTATCCCACGGGTCTTAACCTTTAAGACTCATGCTTCATCAAATCAACTAGCCATGCTTTCTAGGAGCATGACGTGTGGAATAAATTAATCAAAAGCAAGTATTTTTTTCTTTATGGTCTCCTTGAATATTTTATAAAAAGAAGAAGCTAGTTTTTCACTCTTCTAATTTTTATAACTTATAAAATATATAAATCCATATAAGACAAAAAACAATTTTAGTAAAAAAAAGATGTACATGACATAATAGATCATACCTTATGATATATTATGATATATATATATATATATTATATATATATATATATATATAGAGAGAGAGAGAGAGAGAGAGAGAGAGGGAGAGAGAGAATCAAATTCTTATAAATAATATATATTGCTACAATTAAGTTGTTGTTAGTTTGGAATTATCACTTCCAATATTTTAGCTCATGTCTCTTATAAATAGAGGTTTTATGTCTCGTGTAATCGCATTTTCAGAAGCAATGTACGTTCCTCAATTGACATAGGAAAGTGTTTTTTCGTATCCACTGCTCGTGGTTAATCCTAGTTGGGTTTCCACATAAACAATCATGGAGTTTTTTTTGTCTCGTTTTTTTGTTGCTTTACATTGCTTGATTATTACTAACAATCAAATTCCATCTGAATCATTATTATACTAGTTTGTTTAATGTATGATCCTAAAGATTATTGACATTCACTTTGGTGCACTTTCAAATTTCTACAGATCATTGCAGCCAATTTACCAACAAACAATCTAAAAATGAAACTCTAACAGGAAATTGATATAAAAGACTTGATTAATTCCTAGTTAGAACCGGTCAGTTTAGACTGCCCAATTAGTTCTTAAAGAGTGTCACCGTTTATTATATGACTAACACAAAACCATACTAAACTCAGTCCTAAGCTGAAATCTAAAACCGTTTCTAATCCTAAATTGGTTAAAATATAAACCAAGTTTAAATCGAATTGAAATAAATCTTAACCCGTTGGAAACGAAATAGGTCGGAAACAATCATAACTATTACATATTTCTGATTAGTTACTTTAAAACAATTTTTTATTGTGGCCAAAAGCAACCCGTGAGTAGTCTCATATACATATATGCATAAAGATTAGTGTCCATCGAAACCTACAATAACGTCTCAATTTTCACAAAAAAAATTCAAATTTTAAATAGATAAAAAGCCATTTTCATAAACCCAAAAATCAATAAAACTATTTGCTCCAAAAGTCATAATCCTCCAAAAAATAGAGTATCATAAACAACACGGAATCTCAAACATGAAAGCTGCTGATAAGTGTATTCAGTCACGTCATCACATTCCCACGATCATCTGAAGTACCAGAAACATTTGACCCACGACTGTAAGCCATAATCTTAATGAGTTCCC